AGATTAACTCCATTATGGAAATTGGGCTCCAAGTGGCCACTATGAAGTCAAACGACAATTAAACTACTGGTTTTTAACATTTTACAAAACAAAATAACAATGGCTGCTCAAACAAACAATTACCTACATTAAATCAAATGAATTGTCTAGGATGTATTTACCATGCCTTATACACTATCAAATTAGCACCCTGCATACTAACACAGTTTCCATATTCAATGTACATATGTTGGCATATATTCCCCTATACCCTATTTCCCTCATATTAAATACCCATTAATAATGACTTGACATCAACAATTACCTAACAAAGCAATTAGAGATCAAATATAACACATTCTCATGCTAATAGACTCAGAGCATGATCCAACTAATAGTCCAACTAACAAATTTCGAATTCTCAGCAATGCAAGATTATCCAATTTATACAAACCCAATAAAACTGAACTCCTGATTTCCCAATAGTGCAGAACCAGACTCAAGCAAAGATGATCACACAAAGCCAGGATTCAATACTAATAATAGAATATGTTGACCAAATCATAAGAGGACAACATTTACTAGTTAACATGATTTAAACTTCAATTACAACTCACTCTAAATAAATACATCCATCAGAATCTTTCTAGAACCAAGTATTACATGTTAAACACAAGATTGAAAGAAGAAAAGATGATTCATATTCACAACATCAAATTTTTATCTTATTTTAAAATCCATACTTTGAGCTACACATCAAGTGGCATCCATATGGTTGAGGAATACCTGGGAATGAACAAAGCAAACAGACAAGGTGAAGAATCTGCAGTCAAGCAGCAACAATACATCAGAATCAACACCAGCTGAACCATCTCAAACAAAAAATGAGTATGAAAGCAGTAAAGAACAGTCCCCCTCTAACAGTAACCACAACAACTTCAAAACCAAACCTTAAACACCCAACCTCAATCTATTTAAAAACTAAATCAATCAGAAAATCTTTTCAGGAATGCAAGATTTGAGAAATCACAGAATGAGTTTCAATGGAACAATAATTTCACTCCAATTTCCAGTTGTTTGTGTTTTTCAGAATTTTATCTCTTCATAATATGCCTTCAATGCCAAGTAAAAGTACCTTTAAAGGCAAGGCATTAGGGCAGCCTAAAAGTATTCAGTTTTTGCACCTTACCCCTTCTGAAATTCTCATTTTTGCTTAGACCTCCTTAGTGTAAAATTCAGACTTTTACATAATCTCCCACCCCAATTTCTAGGAAGTTTACTTAGGCAGTTACATCAAGATTTCCTAAGACAATTACCTAGAATACCCCTTTAAACCCCTTCTTTTTACTTTCAAACAACCAAATGGGTCATGGGTCAATTTGACTCAACGGTTTAAACTCCAAATGAACAGGCCAGAATTGAACTTAAGGCCCGAACAAAACTCAGAAACCTATTTAGTAGAAAAGAGAAACAATTAAATGATTTCAAACATCAAAATCTAACCAAGTAATTGATTTCTTTTATAACTAAATACTGAGCCGGAGTTAACCAAATTACCGAATCAACAAAGCCTAAATTAAGCTAATTATAAAAAATGTCATAAATAACAAAAACATGCAAAGAACAGTATCTAAAACCTGAAAAGAAAGACTAAAAATCTAATGGAGCAAGTGCGATCACTAAATTATTCAAAAAGAGAAAACTAGGTCTGAACTTCTATCTACTTTCCAAACATTAGTAGAAGCGGGAAGACAAAGAAGAAAAGAGTAGGAAGATGAAACGGCATATAAGGGCAAGCAAAATGAAAAACACTTACCGATTCACATTCGAACCCAATATTGGACCTTCAATTTAACACAATCAGTGTTAACCGCCTGTTCTTTGTGAAGAACAAACGACCAACACTACTTATGCCAAACTAGACTTCGAAATATTGAAAACTCGGATGCTTGTGGTCATGCAAGCCACAGAATCAAAGGCAGAACAATTTTGACTTTTTGGGGCCTCGAACTCTGACTTTAGATTTAAGATTCGACGAGATTGAGGGTGATTCGAGGGGAGCTATGTTGACATTTGGAAAAAAGGAAGGTGAGGGGGTTCGATGGTGTTACTTTGGGGGTGGTTGGAGGTGGCGCCGCCAGTGGGTAGTGGTGGGATTTAGGGCGGCTCTAGGGTTCCACGGTTGGTCTCTGAGATGAGAATGAGAGAGATGAGAGATGGGAAGGGGGGGGGGCTTAATTCGAACAGATATATACCAACCCAACCCACTTCACAACCGTTGGATTAGAAAACATAGACGGCTCAGATCAAATGACTAATCTAAACAGGGTCGTTTAATTTAGTAGGGGGACGGACTGGGCTGGGGACACGGGTTTTGGACCAGATTTAAGGGCAAATTGGTTTGGGCTTTGGGAAAATTTCGAATTTTGGCCCAAACTAACTCTCTTCTTCTTTTATTTCCTATTTCAAATCAATTTTTCCAAAAATTCTTTTTCTTCCTCTTTTTTTTTCAAAGTTAAATTTACATCTAAATTAAATCCTAAAACCTAATTAACCTATTAAAAATACTAATTAAACCTAAATAATAATTACCACAATTAATAAAGAAAACAAATTAAAAGAAAAATACTCAAAATTCAAAATTAAAATCAAAAGTGCAAATTAAACTATTTGTTTGTAATTTTTCCATTTTTATAAACAACTAATTTTCTAATTAATCTTAAAATGTAGAATTAAATCCTAAATGCACATGCCACATATTTTTGTATTTTTCATTAATTAAACAAAATTAACTTGCACAAACAATATGCAAATAATAACAGAAAATGCCACAAAAATCCACAAAATTGCAAACAATGGAAAAATTATTTTGTTTTGAATTTATGGGAGTAATTCATATAGGACAAAAATCACGTGCTCACAATAAGTTCCCAAGCAGAGGCAAAAGTGAATTTGCCATTAACAGTTGGTGCCAAATGACTTCATCTAAGGTATGAGGTTGGTAATAAATAAAGGTTTGAATGATATCTTGGATCATGTGATATGGGGAAACAATCATTTAGTTTTTGAAGATCACGTTGATCTTCCATCCCGAAATAGGAAACAGGAGTCTTGCTAGGTCTGCCTCCACCAATTCAATGGTCAACTAAAGATCCTGTTCCTAGCCAATTATCCCACCAGAATATACAGTTTTCCGAGTGATGTTTCCATTGAATTGTTTGCTCAGCCTCCTTTTTGTTAATCATCATCATTTTCCATGCTTGTGACTGGCTAGAGTTCAATTTTTTGGATATGGGATTGGACCTTTGATAAAATTTGTCTCTAAGGAAATTAGTCCATAGAGACTAAGAGGTTCTAAAGTGCCACTATTGTTTGATCTCTATTGTTTTGCTGACATCCTCAATTGTTCTGAATCCCAGACCACCCTCCTTCATTGGATAGGCCAGTTTCTGCCAAGAGGCTCAATGATACTTCAATTTGTCCTTTCTAGACCCCAGAAAAAATTTGCTGCCAATTTCTCATTTTGCTTTATAATAGTTTTTGAGGAGACACTGCAGACAAGAGGTGGATTGGTATTGATTACAGTACATATTTTATCAAGGTACCCTGCCACCATAGGATAGCATTTTTCCATGCCGGCCTTTGATTCTACCTACAATCTTAGATATGAGGTTGTTGTAGTAAATGATCCTCTTCCTACCTATATACAAAGGACATCCCAGATAAGTTAGAGGAGTTTCCTCTTTGAGACACCTTTTTCTGCTCTAATCCTTCTTATAAAAGACTGAATAGCTACAGGTGAAGTCATGAAGTGACTCTTATCCTTGTTGATTTTTTGCCCAGAATTTTCTTCATAACTGCTCAATATCTTCATGATTTTTTAAAGTGATACTATGCCTCCTGAAGTAAATATGATAATGTCATCTGCAAAACAGAGGTGATTAATCTGTGGTCCTCTCCTTTGCATATAGAAGCCATTAAAGAATTAATTATGGTTCAGGTTATTGAGCATCCTGGAAAGTAATTCAGCTCCAATAATGAATAGGGAGGGAGCTAGTGGGTCTCCTTGTTTTAGGCCCCTAGTAGATTGAAAGAAGTCACACTTAGTGGCATTAATGATGACTGAGTACCAATTGTTTGATGAAGTTCTCCAGATCATGTCAATGATTCTTTTTTAGAATCCCATTCTTCTCAGCATGATACATATGAAGCTCCATGATACTCTATCATAGGCTTTGGCCATGTCTAACTTAATAACAACATTGGTGCCAATGTTGGGCTTTTTGATGCCATGGACAATTTCCTATGCAAGCATGATGTTTTTAGAAATGTTTCTCCCTTTAACAAAGCATGTCTTATTGGCTGAGATGATTCTAGGAAGCCAGTCTTGTACTAATGATCTTGGAGATAATCTTGTTAATGAATATTGGTCTAAATTATGTATGGGAGTTGGGAAATTCCACTTTTGGAAGTAGGACAAAAAAAGCACTTGTCATGTATCTGGGCATGGTGTTTCCTCCAAAAAAAGTCAAGACAACCTTCATCAAATCAGGCTTGATGATTTCCTAACAACCTTGGTAGAATTTACCATTCATACCATCAGGGCCTGCAACACTTGTAGGACTTATGGAAAAGACTACTTCTTTTAGTTTATTCATCGTGAGATCTGTAGAAAGGGCATTATTTCAATGTTATAGCATTTTTTGAGGAGAAAATTGGGGGTATTCCTTATCAATGGTAGGGATGCATGAGAGAATATCTTCTCTGATAGTACCTCCTGGATCAGAAAAGAGTTCTTGAAAATAGTCACATGCTGCTTACTGTATAGCCTCATTACCCTTATCCCAATTATCTTATTCATCCTTGATCTTGTGAATGTATAACTTTCTTCTTTTACCCCTCATTAGGCTGTGAAAATATTTGGAATTTGCATCCCCATCTTTGAACCACTGTACCTGAGTTTTCTGTTTGAGGATTAACTCTTCAAGTTTCATATATTTGAGATATTGAGCTTTGATTTCCTAAAATGTAATTCTGTCACTATCAGAATTACTTTGTGCCCGTGTCTCCTCTGCATCTTTGACTTGCTGTTCAAAGAGTTTGGCTTTCTGAAAAATGTCTCCATATTCCTGTCTGGACCATATACTCAAAGCATTTTTAAGTGCTTTGAGTTTCTAGTGGAAGACCCATATAGGATTTCCTGTGACTTCTCTGTTCCATACCTCCTCTACTAGAGGAAAGAATTTCTCATTGTCTACCCAGCAGTTAAGGAATTTGAAGTATCTATTGTCCATTTCTTGCCTTACATTGATCTCCATCAGGAGAGGGTTGTGATCAGAACCTGCTGAGGCTAGATGATGAACAGTAGTGGCAGGAAAGGCAGTCAACCATTGGTCATTCACTAGACCCCTATCTAGTCTCTTCCAACTAATAGAGTTTGGTCCTCTGCCATTTGACCCGGTATATTTGTGACCATAGTAGACAAGATCCACCAGACCACTATCTTCAGTCATGCTAAAAAAATCCAAGATTTTACTCATCTGATAAGGAATACCCCCAATTTTCTCCTCAACAAATGCTATAACATTGAAATCCCCTATAACACACCAAGGGATAGTGTATGTGGAAGATTTATGTCTCAGGATATCCCATAAGGGTCTCCTCATTACTGGTTCACATTTGGCATAGTACATTGTGAGGTTAAAAATATTTTCATCCTCCACATGTTTCATCTCCATAGATATTTGTTGCTCATCAGAATCTAGAACCTTAGTAGTGAATTCTTTATCCTAGAATACCTAAATTTTGTCATTGATATTGGAAGCTTCTTGGTGCATAGAGAGCTAAAGTATAAAGTAGTTGATGTGAATGTTATCCAGGAAGGGTTCAAGGATAGCAATGAAGGATAGTTGGTGAAATTGTTTTAGGATTCTGAGTCTTTAAATAACTCCTGAGGTCCTAATACCTTTTGCATTCCATACAAGTGTACTAATTATTGAGGTTTTGATGGGGTTGTGTATTTTGGTGTTATATTGGTTGCTACAGCTGTTTTACTTTTGGTAACTCTTGGTGATGGTCCCATCCTGGGTGATAGGTTTTGTGTCATGATGAGTTCTTTTTTATCAGATGATCCATTTACAGCTTCAATAAGAAATTCACAAAGCTGATCATTATGATCATTTTCTTCTTCCGACCAATCCCCAGGTTCAACAGGTTCATCCTTAAATTGGATGGGTTTGTATTCATCATCTTCAGGATATTTTGTATCACAATCAATGTTGAAAATCTCATCTTCAACAATCTTCTTTTTTTGGGAATCAGAGTCCTGCATATGATTTTGCTCTATTGATGACATTTTTGCATTTTTCCTTCTCATTGCTCTTCTTTTTTTCTGGCCCTGATTATTTTTTAGTTTTGGTGTCTGAATGGAAAAGTCAGAAGCAGCCTTTGCTTTGCCTTTAGCCAGTTGTTTAATGATATTTGACTGATCTTCCTCAAAACTACTAATATCCAGATTGATATCCTCCCCTGACTAATTGTTTGGAGGATGATTGGAGGTATCAATAATGGAATAGCCCAGCTTATGCTGGTTAGGATTATGTGCCAGAGGACTCTCATGTAGAGCATGAGGAACTTCACCTTTATTTGGATCCCTCCTCCCATTAGAGCTATGTTCTTCCTGATAATTCCTTTTTTACTCCTTCCGTTTCAGCAGCAGAAGCCAGTGTAGGATGAGGACTCATCTACTGTGTAGCTATAAGAGCACTAACCCGGTATTGTTTTTGTATTGTGGCTGTTTCTTTCCTTTGCTGCTGAGTCTCTCTACTTTATTAAGCTTGTGTATCAGTTTGTGTTTCAATTTGTGAGTTTCACTGATTTTTTGTGATCTTGTAGCTTGCTTGGTATGAACGTTTGGTGCTGTTTTTTTTTATTATTTTGCCATTTGAATTGTCTTTTCCTCTGTGTTTTCCATCTTTCCTTTTCATTGATTGTGATAGATTGTTGATGTTCCTTTCCTTGTAAGTTCTCAGAAGTTTTGGTTTCCTTAATCTGACTAGTGGTTGACCCTCCTAATTTCTGTGGTTCTGTTGAATGCTGTTGGTGATTAGCATTGGCTTCATTGCTTTGGTTCTACTTTTGAATGACCTGATTTTGAGCTGATGGTTTGTTTTGTTGAACTTCCTGGTGGCTTTCAACTGCATTCTGGTCTTTTTTTCTTTTTATTTTCCTCCGCTTTCAACCTGATAAGGCAATCATGTGAGTTGTGATCCAGATGTTTGCAATAGAGGCAGTACTCAAGGATATTCTCATATTGTACTTCAAGCCGCATTCCATCACAATTCTCATCTTCATCAAATCCCAACCATACATGATGGGGCCTTGGCTTTGTTAAGTCAATTTGCATCTTAATCTTAGCCACACTTTTTCTGATTTTTTGAAAAGAAGCTAAGTACAAGTGAAGAGCTTCCTACTAGAGATAGTAAAACTGTTAAGAGCTCCATATAGTCGAAGTGCCAAGGTAGTTCCGGCACCACTACCCATGAAGGGACAGTTAGTGAATCTTCATTAGGGTTAAATGTGGGAGTCCATGCTTCTAGTTTCATCATTTGTACCTGTATGTACATGAGCTGTCTAGTCCATACTGTAACTTAATCATACACATTGTCCAAATCTATGTAGACTATTCTATCATTGAAATGTGCTATCTTAACCCCTCCCTTAAACTCAATTTATGCCACAAAGCTTCTTCTAATGATCTCCATTCTTGGCATTGTGTTAGAAAATTTTCCAGCCATTGTGAACCTACATCTGGCTGCTAGTTTTACCATGCAGTCATGTCTGTCAAAAATGACTGTTGGCCGGTCTTGCTTTGTGGTGAATTTTGGTGGCGTGAATTCAATCGATTCTAACTCAGGTTCATGCTTGGCTCTTAATTAGGTAACATAGGAGTGTTTTATTGTGGGTGGAGGTGGTGCAGGAGTGGTAGGTGGCTATTTTTGTTTGGTATTATTGTCCTTACATTGGGTACCATTGATGAAATTATTCAATGTCTGATTAGATGTAGATTGTTGGTTTGTGGGCTTAGTGTGAGCAGGTTTGTCAAAGTTGAATGAAATATTTGGTAGGGTATTTATGTTGATGGTTGTTTGGTTATTGAATTTTTCCTGAATTGGGAGGGTAGCTTGAGTGCCTTTGTCATTCAAGTGTTATGGACATATATGAGCCTATTACGACCCGGAATTTCCACCATCGGGACCGTGATGACGCCTAATATTTCACTTGTTAGGCAAGCCAACGTTAGAACAATTTATTCCTTTTAACAATTTAAGTGATAACAATAAGGAAGAACTAAAATAACTAAAATAATTTAAGTGAATATGCGGAAGCTAAACCAGCCAAACATCTACAATTCCTTGAACCTGGTGTCACAAGTGCACGAGCTGCTAGAATAGTAGATACAAAGGTCTGAAATAATGTAAAGCTATCCGAAAAGAAGATGCACAACTAAATAGGAACAAGAAGGGGACTTCGGGAGCTGCAATCGCTGAGCAGTTGTACCTTAAGTCTCCGTAAGCTGTCTGATCCGAGCTCTCTAGTAGCCGCCGCGGGTAGCCGCCCTAAAAAATCCGCATAGTATGTAGAGTGCAGTATTAGTACAACTGACCCCAATGTACTGGTAAGTGTCAAGACTGACCTCAACGAAGTAGTAACGAGGCTAAGGCGGGTCACCTATACTACAACCTCTATGTAGTCTAAAATAATGATAGAATAATTGAAATACTGTACAAAATTAAATAGCCAACAGAAAAGGATAACTACAGCCTCAAAATAAGCCAGTACCATCCAGAATTACCAATTTTTACCAACTTAAATAAGAATACCGAAAAACAATGCAACTCAAGAAATGGAAACATATAGGTTGTTGCAGCGCGCAACCCGATCCTACCAGAAAACATATAATCCTCCCTTGTTCCACCGTGATAATATCAATAACAGTAAATAATATATGTTTGTCGTGGCGTGCAACCCGATCCCACCATATATTAATAGCAGTATAATAATTCACCATTATTTCACTATATCAATCCACCTTTATTCCACTTGTTGCGGCGTGCATCCCGATCCTATCAGACATTACAAATTCACCCTTATACCACCACATCAATTCACCCTTATTACACCTGCTGCGACGTGCAGCTCGATCCCACCATATCAGTATCAAGTACTCAATTCATAGTCAAATCAACAGTTCAAACCACAATTACCTTTACGGTCAGCAAATACCAAACTAAACCAAAATAGAAACTTTGTACAAATATACAAATCTACACGAGTAATACTATACAGCGAGATCAATCCAGCAATTTACAATTAGAAGGTACAAGTAAGTCAATTAAAGCAAATAACAGGGAATCATGAAACTACGAAGAGAGCTAACATCATTGACAGGAGAACATACTGAATAACAGGTAGCAATTAAGTATGGAAGTCTTTAGAGCATATAATAGTTGAGATAGGAAGGAAGACAATTAAGGAAAAGCGATAAATAAGGGAAAACAGATAATTCGGCGGCGTATAAGCACTCGTCACCTTGCATATATGCCGCTCACATGGAATTCACATAACATAAAGTCTGAGGGTTCCTAATTCCCTCAAGTCAAGGTTAGACATAATACTTACCTCGCTCCAAAGACCACTCAAAGCTAAACCACAACTTTGCCTTTCAAACTAACCTCCAAACCAACAATATCTAGAAAATTACCAACCAAACAATTCAAAATAAGCCTTAGGAATCACCCACGATAACAAAAGACTCAATTTAGGTCATTATTGAAAAAGTCAATACCCAGGTCCGCTTGGTCCAAACCCGAAATTTGTACCAAAACCTGATTACCCATTCACCCCTGAGCCTAGATATACAATTGGTTTTGGAATCCGACCTTAATTTGAGGTCTAAATCCCCAAATTTCAGAATCCCTAGTTTCTACCCAAAAATCCCCAATGATTTGGGGAAGAAAAGGTCTTTGAAAAATTTCCTAGAGGGTTTCTTGTTTTAAAAGTTTGCGACCTGAGCTTCGCAAATGCAAGAAAAGCTTCGTAAATGCGAGAAAAGCTTCGCAAATGCGAAATTCTCACATTTCTGTTGCCCTCGCAAATGCGAACATTTTGTTCGTAAATGCGAAACTGGAGGATCGCAAATGTGACCCTTAACTTCGCAAATGCAAAGTTGCCCCTCCCAGCCCACTGCTCGCAATTGTGATGCTTCTTCGCAAATGTGAGGCTCGCATTTGCGAGCTAGACCTCGCAATTGCGAAGTTTGCAGACCTGAAGCACACCAGCTATGGTTTTTAAGTTCAAAACACTCTGTAGCCTCTCTGAAACTCACCCGAGCCCTCGGGACTCCAAACCAAACATGCACACAAGTCTAAACACATCATACGAACTTGTTCGTGCGATAAAATCACCAAAATAATACTTAAAACCATGCATTTAGCACCAAATCAAATGAAATTCTCAAGAACACTTTGAAATTCCGATTTTCATAACCGGACGTTCGAATCACGTCAAATCAACTCTGTTTCTCACTAAATTTCACTTACAAGTCTTAAATGTTATAATGAACCTGCACCAAGTTCCGGAACCAAAATACTGACTCGATACCAATAATATCAAACATTAATAATTTCTTAAAAACCATTAAATTTTCAGACTTCCAATTTTCAACAAAAAATCATAA